TCTCGGATCTCCGTCCCGTCCGAGAGCTTCAGCTTCTCGCCGTTCAGCCGTTTCCCTTCCTCCGCGAGCTCGAAGAATCTCGAGATCGCTAGGGTTTGCGCGTCGCTCATGCTTCCCGGCGCTCCGGCGAAGACGTCGACGAATCGCATCGCCGGATCCACGATCGCCTGGAGGATCATGCTGTGCTTCCCCTCGGGATCGCGCCAGATCTTCTCCGCCGGATCCGCCGGCGACTGGCAGAACCCGACGTGCGTGACGTCAATCGCGCCGCAGCAGTTAGGCAGCCCGCGGACGCTCTCGAATCTGTCCTTGATCCCCTTCACGTCCTCCTCCACGGACGGCCACCGGAGATGGTGGATGCCTCTCTCCTCCATGGCTTCCACGAACAGCCACGTGATCTGCCCGACAGCCGACCGGGCAATCCCGAGGGAATCTCCTAGAACGGAGAGGGATTCGCCGGAGCTCAACCGCCGCAGCGCCACCGCCACGCGGTCGTTCAGGCACAGGTGCTTCCCGCTCAGATCCGTCAGGTTCACGTGTTTGGACATCATCTCGTCTTTAACCAGTGAGCATATGTAATTGAACGTTCTTCTTGAGAATTTGAAGACGTCTTCAAAGGAGGAAGACGAAGAAGAAGAAAAAGCTCTGTCTTTCGAAATCCCTGGAAAAGTTTTTGTAACACGAAGAAGAAGACATGAAGAGCACAAACAACATACCAATTTTTTATTACAGATCAACTCAGCAATTAAAACTAAATTATTCAACTTCCAACAAATTTCAATTTTCATGTTTGGTTTACAAATTTCCAGATTCCAACCATCAAAATTCAGGACATATTTGGGAATAACATTAAAATTAGCGTTTTGAAAAAAAACTATTTACGGACAACATTTAGCGTTAGCATTTTCAAAGTAATTTGCACCCTTAAATTTTATCTAAAAATGTTAACATTAATCTTAACGCTATTTCCAAACAGGCTCTTAAAATTAAGGTTAGAATTCCATCAAAAGGAGGCAAAAATGGAAGCAAAGAATACAAATTGTGTGGATGAGTTTACAACTGCAACTATAAACATTTAAATTGTGCATGGAGTAAATCCACAATGGCATCTGTTTATAGATCATAGCAAGCTTTGGTTTTGTATATATGGTGCAAATAAAAATCCTAATTTGATCAAAAAATAAACCAGTCGTAGATATGTTGTATGTTAGGGAGTACAATTTTAGTGAAACGTACAAATAATGTGAGATAATAAAACCTCAAAATTCAATATTTATGATGAAAAATTGTTCTACAAACTAAAAAAAAATCTTTCTAATAAAAATGATCAATATTAATGTTGAGGCCGAAAAAGGGAGCAAATGAAATTAGACAGGCTCAAATACCCTACAAGAAGTGCAACTTTGATGCATTGATGAATTTACTATACACAAATTCATTATGACTTGTGAGTACTACAGAGTACTTGTATATACTCCGTAGTAAAAAAAGAAATAAATAAAAATAATTTTGATTAAACATTACTCTGGATCATTTACATTAGTAAAGAGCAAAAGAACTAGGACTAAACAGAACGACTCGGATCCGGATAGATCGGGGGATCAAACCAAGAAAATCAAGATCAAATTGGTTCTTAAAACCGACCCGATCTCGAAGTATCAATTTGACTCACTTTAAAAAAATGATCTTTATACAAATACAACTTCCCTTTTAATATAAATCCAAAACCTTATACGGAGTATTATTCTTTATATAAAGTTAAAAATAAGACAGAGAAAAAATAAAAAATCTTAAAATACACTCCAAAGTAAAAAAAATATACATTATTTTTGCTGGTTTGCATAAATCAAGCGAAATATATAGAGAGATCAAAGAAATTAGATAAGAAAATGTAAGATTTTAGCTGAATTCCTAAAGAGTCTTTTAGCTCTCTATATGTTAAAAAAAAGGCCCACCAAGAAATCATCAAGAAAATGGTTGCATCCGTACGGCCCTCTGCCCGAAATCAAGAAACACAGGCAGCCCCTGACGGCGGCGGCGGCAGGGCCGCCGGATGTGGGCCCCACGGAACGCAAATACGTACAAGACACTCGCGTATACGGAGAGGAAACATAAATACACACGTACCGCCGGTGCCGGCGAACAACCCCCGGGAGAAGCCGCCCCACCAATCCGAGTCGCCGCAGGGAATGCCGGGTCCACGGCGGGCGGCGGGGGCAAAAAGGTCAGCATCTTCCTCGGGCATCATCTTCCTCTTCGCACCCCTTATGGGCCCCATCGAAGCTCCGGCCCCGCAAACCCGATGGCGCCGACCTGGCGAGTCGACTCAGAGATTTCGCAAAGATCCGAACTTTACAGCGACCCGACCCGTTAAAGATCTGTATTTTTTTTTTGCCTCTTATTTTTTTTTCATGCAGTAATGCCGTGTGCGGTTTCGGTTTGGCAAATAAGAAGCAAAGGATATAGAGAGATTAACAATTTATGCCCCATTGAGGATATGACATATATGCTCTCATATTTTCAAAATCAATTTTTATTTTGGTGTTTGATGAAACATGAAAAAAGAATTGGATTTTATATATTTAGATATTATATATTTTTTAAATGAATGTTTTTGATATACTCAAAATTTTGGAGATATTAATATAGGAGTAGGGTTTGATATTTCTTTCCATCATCAAACTATCACTATCACTAGTACCAGCTAGACATGTGTAAACAAGAGTCGGCTCGTCCGGTGTGCCATTTAAAAATAAGGATATAGACAACCTTTAATACTCACAGGCTAGACCAAGGGCGAATTATATTTGGGTGAATCTAGAAGTTACTGTTAGTCCACTCGGGTCAACATGTCCACCCATATTCATCAAATAAATTTACTTTATTATTAATTACCTAGCAAATATAAATTTTAAATTTTTTTATAATTCATGTATAATAGTTGAATTCACTCACATCTCTTAAACAAAAATCAATAATATTTTAATAAATCAGTATGATGGTTTATTAATTACGCAACAATACCTCTATTATGTTTTTTATGTAAATGTGGTGACTGTTCATTCTATTCTAAACATTGAAAAAAGAGTTCAATATTTTTTTATTTTTTGTGCAAAAAAAATTTTCTTGATTTTTATTCGACAGGACGGCCCGGTGGGCAATACAACCCGCTAAGGTGGGCGGGTTTGAGTAAAAAAGTTTAGCCTATCAAATCCGGGTCGGGCCAGGTCCGCACGTGTATATGGGCTAATAATTGTATCAAGCCCGGCCAGATTTCTTATTTGCGCAGGTCTACTACCAGCTACTTTTGTTGCCCCTGCCTATTATTAATTAAATATTGATTTCAAGTCTCTCCGAACAAGTTATTTCAAAATTTCAAACGCATATCATTTCTATGGACTTAAAAAGAATTTATCAAACTTGGAAAACTCACCAAACACGTCCTTATACTATTTAATAATATTTCATCATCACTAATTAGGGCCTGTTGATTTATGTTAAAAAATTAACTTTTAATTTTTTTAATGATTTTCAGCTTCTTTTAATTTCTTCAAATTTCTTCTAACTTCTTCTAATTTTTTTCAACAATAACTATAAAAAAAGTATTTTCTTATGATGAATATACAATAATACCATGTGGAGTATTTTCAAATTTATAAACTACCACATCAAACAGAGACAGTGATGCATCTTTTTCATCCAAAATTATTTTTCTTGCACATTTATTTGGATAATTATTTAATTAAGTAGTTTTTTAATACTTTATTTTCCCACTATTTTCTAACTTCTACTTATTTATAATTTTTTCCAATTTCTTCTAACATCTTCTTGTTTCTTCCATCAACTCTATTTTTACAACCCAACCGAACATATTCTTAATAGACCAAGCCAAAGACCTTCTAGTTTAATGCCACCTCGCTGACTCTCCCAATGACAGATTTGATGTTCAATCCCTTGTAGATGCAATAACTCTCATTCTTTAATTGGGAAAGAGTATGTATGGACATACTCCTTCCGTCTTTAAAAAATTGTCACAATTGACTTTTTTTGTCAAAGTATGGTACCTTTTGATCACAAATTACATATATTTTAAAATAATTAAATATTATAAAAATTCTATATTTAAAAAGTATATTTTAAAATAAACTCTATTTTACTAAATTTACGTGGGTTTGGAGTTGAAAGTAGTGCCAAAAATGAATTGGATTTGGAGAGTTCAATCTCATCCAAATCAATTCCATGAAATCTCAACTCCCAATTTAAATCTAATTCCCTCAATTTTGTGTATCAAACAGACCCTAAATTAAGTTAATCGAAACTTAGTTTTGATTTTAAACGAAAGCTATTGAATTTAACTTGAGCAAGTATGTAACTCGAACTACTGAGAAATGTCGTTTCACAAACAAAAGTAACACAAACATCACAAACTTGTTACATTTATGAAATTTATTTTTAAAAAAATCAATTGGTTTCAAATAATTTTAAAGTGGAAATTCACATTCAAAATTGGAAAATTTAAGTTGTGTCATTTTTGTTAGTGATTTTGGCACTTCTCGGGATGAATTGAAAGTTTATTATTATAAAATGATCGCTTTATATTTATACTCGGTATGTGATCTTGGCTGGGAACCCTCATTCGAACGGACCAAATGACGGGTTAGGCTTTTATAGGGGTATGCCCCGATGCTATGTGTACATACTACCTCCGTCCCAATTTATAACGCCTGTTTCGGTTTACGATGTTTGACTGAAATTATTTTCAAACCATTTTATATGACAAATGGTGTAGAATTAAAAAATAAAAATTACATATTAAAAAACTACATCAAAAGATCTACAAAACTAGTAGTGACAATAATATTTTATTTTATCAAATTGCTAACGAAAATAGAGAAAGAAAGTGAATGAAGTTTGACCCTGTGAATAGTAAACAGGCATTATAATTTGGGACGGAGGGAGTACATTCTATTGACTCGATTTAGTTTTATTTACCTTTTACTGTCAATACTAAAAGTATATTATAGGCCTAGGTCTAAATTGAGCACTTGATGGTACTTAATGAAGGGAATGGCATGTTTTAGAAATGTTCTATGACAACCACATGAATAAAAACTTTGGAAGAAAAAAAAACAAAAAAAATTAACAAACAAAATTTTCAAAATAATAAATTGTCATAGAAAACCACATGATTTCCTTGCCCTATTTCACAGCTTGTTTCTTGGAACAAGCTGAAGAAAGGTGGCCACGCTCTCCACATTCATAGCATCTCCGTCCCCGTATCTTTGCACTAACCACCATTTCCTCCGCCGCACCGCTAGGCGGAGCATCGGCCGGATTACTTTCCCACGCCTCGTTTTGTCGCGGGCCCGTGGCTTTTGCATCGTCGAAACTCTTCACTTGAGTGTCCGTTGCAGATTGTTTCTCGGGACACGCGGAAGAAACGTGCCCGCGTTCTCCGCACTCGTAGCACGTCCGCCTCCGTATCTTCGCACTAACCGCACCACTTGTCTCCACCGCGTCACTAGGCAGAGCATCGGCCGGATTGCTTTCCCACGCCTCGTTTTGTCGTGGGCCCGCCTCAAAACGTTCCGGCCCCGTGGCTTTTGCATCGTCGAAGCTATTCACTTGAGTGTCCATTGCAGACTGTTTCTTGGGACAAGCGGAAGAAACGTGCCCGCGTTCTCCGCACTCGTAGCACGTCCGCCTCCGTATCTTCGCACTAACCACCGCATCACTTGCCTCCACTGGTCCACTCGACTCCAGGACATCGTTTTGTTGCGGGCCTGCCATTTGGTTTTGTGGTAGGAACTGCTTGTTACGCTCTTGCGTGGCTTTCGTCTTGTCGTCATCGGAGCTCTTCTTTGGGACGGCACGGCTTATCCTAACGGGCCTACCGCAAACGATTTTCTGATCCAACTTCAACGCAGCATCTAGCGAGAGATTATCGGCGAAATCAACATGGGCATAGCCTTTGAATTCCCCTGTTTCCTTATCTTCCCCAAACCGGATGGACGCTATTTGGCAACCGGAAAAGAGGTTCCTCAAGTCGTCCTCGGTTATCTCCCATGACAAATTCCCCATATAAACCCTATTGTACCCCTCTATGGCTTCGGGGGAGAAATTTGCGACTTTGCTTTTGGGTCTATACGAGTTGTATGGCTGGACTTTCAAGAACAGCCCGCCCCTGCAAAGAGGATAGACGGTCACATTGATGATTCAAGAGAGTAGTAAGGCGAACCGTAAGTAATGATCGAGACCATATGTAGCTTACATGTCAGATCCATCAAGGGCCAAAGCTCTTTTCGCAGCCGCTTCAGTCTGAAAAATAAAAGTTTAGTCATTAGATGAAACAACAAAAAAACAGTCCGGTATAATTCCAACATATTTTCGAATCTGAACTCTGAAGGTCAAGGGGTACGCAACAATTACCCATGTAATATACTCCTACAAATTTAGTCAATAGATACAACAATAAACCTACTCTCTTTGTCCCAAAATTATCGTCTTGTTTACTATTCCACGCTTCCAATAACTTTTGTTTGCGTGTGCGTTTTCATTGATCATTTGAGTAAATAAAATACTCACGGCTTGTTTTGTAGAACTTTTGGCATAGTTTTTAAATATGTAAGTTATACTTTTCATTTGTATACCAATTTGTAAATAAAATCATTTTAAATGAGATGAGATATTGTAGAGTGTTTGAAACATGACGATAATTTTGGGACAGAGGGAGTAGTAAAATCCTAGAGTATATTACCTTGTAAGTTACTCCTACAAGGTTAGTCAATGATACAACAAACATAGTAAAATATCCTAGAAATGTAGGGTCTGGGGAATGTTTAATCAATAGATGTTTGACAATATTATTTATAACAATTCTATCTTCCCAATTCTTTTACGTCCGTCCCTTAACTATCACAAGCTTCGTGTTAATGGAAGCAAATAAGTGGTTCATATTATTTCTCTCTTCTAGAGAAAACTTGGACCACATCATTTTCATTTTCTTAAATAGCGTGCACGGTCAAAGTGGCAATAATATGAGAATAGGGGGAAGTACTTTTGTCCGGAAAAGGTAAGAAAAGTTCATCCTCTAAGAAATGATCTTCAGTGTTTCGTTGTCTCTTGCGTTTTCTGAACCCACACCTTTCAGGCAAGAACCTTAAAGTCTTGTTTTGTTGGAAAATATAGAAGGGAGTGGAGGATTTGATTTATCTTTTACTCCCTCCGTCCCATAAAAGTGGGCTATTTTCATCAAGGCACAACTTTTAAATTTTGAGTGAGCCTTCATAAAACATTAAAATCAGCTTGTTTTCACCAAATAAGCACTCTTTCTTTTCGCGGCAGCAAGGGGGGGGGGGTGAAGAAAAATGACTCTTAAGGGACGGAGGAAGCACTAATAATAGACTAGAAATTTACCATATCTTCCAATAACATGATCAGATGGTAAAATACAATGGTTATCTAAAAATATGCATTTTTAGTGTAACAGGCAGTTTAAATGCCTAAAAGCAAATGCCGGAAAATATGATTATATAGATATGAAATGCACCTACAATGTCCTAGAAATAACTAAGAAATGAAGTATAAGATGAAACAATTCAGAGTACTCCTTAACAACACTTCATCGATGATTGATCAAACATACCATTTCATAAAATCAACAACAAACAACCTCAATAACATCCCACAATAAGGTCATGTTCTCCTCAACTGATTCTTATTACTTACTACGTATCACTTATTCTTATTGGAATCAGATCAGATTTGACCAGATCAGAACTTATTCCAATTAGATCAAAATCAATTAGATCTGATCAAGAGCTAAGAAGGGTCTGGGAAGGGTGTGTACACAAGCATTACTCCTACTCGGAAGTAAAGAGATTGTTTCCAAAAGATTCCCAACTCAAATAGAGAAGCACGTGCAAAGCAAACAATGTAACACAAAGTAAGAGCATATAGACAAGTGCTTCACAAGCTTATATACACACCAAGATAGAAATAAATGTTGAAGTTTTTGTAATTGAACCTTCAACATGAAATCCATATATTGAAACCGTGATACCAAAAACAAAAACCAAACGAACCTTAAAGGTGATGATGGCAATGCCTCTAAACTTTCCAGTGTCTGGGAAGATCATGCAATCAACTTCAGTAATGGTTCCACAGCCTTCAAAGTAACTCTTAATATCATCCTCGCTGGAGTAGTACGGTATGCCTCCAACATAAACTTTCGTAGACACATCAGCATTTTCTTTACTGAAACAACAATATGAATCAATTATCATACAGCTCAAGAAAGGTAAATGGATTGAAGAATAAGAAGAATTCATCAAACTTCATGGAACAGTAATAATGGATGAATCCACATAAATTGAATTCAAAATTCCAGCGGGTTACGGTAACATTCATGTCAACCAAATAAGTCATTCAAAACCTAAAGCTAGTTATTGTTTGCTTATAAATCTAATAAGCATAATAAGCTGACTATGTGCCCATTTGGAAAAAGTTTCAGCGTGTTGAAAAAAAACAATATAATGGCAATGTTCAGCTTTAACACTTATTGAAAATGGTGTTCCCAAAAAAGGCTTATGGCTAGAAGATGTAGTGATGTACTACCTCCGTCCCATTTTATAAGGCCTATTTCGGTTTACGATGTTTGACTGAAACTATTTTCAAACCATTTTATATGACAAATGGTATAGAATTAAAAAATAAAAATTACATATTAAAAAACTACATCAAAAGATCTACAAAACTAGTAGTGACAATAATATTTTATTTTATCAAATTGCTAACAAAAATAGAGAAAGAAAGTGAATGAAGTTTGACCCTGTGAATAGTAAATAGGCATTATAATTTGGGACGGAGGAAGTACTAAGTTCATATACCATCCTAAAATCAGACAGCAAACTCAATGCAAAGATATATTGTGTGGTCCATTTCAGCATAATATACCTCTCAATAACCGGAATTGCCGGTGCAGCTACTACCTCTTCCACAACCTTCACATCCCCTTTCACTCCATCGCTTGCTGCCTCGTTCTCCACATCACTCTTCTTCTTCTTCTTCATCTTCTTCTTCTTTTTCTTCTGCTTCTTAGGCGTTCTAGCTACTGCCTTCTTCACTTCCACCTTACCTTCTAATCCCTCCTCATCACCTCTCTTCCTCTTTTTCTCACCCAAAATCTCTGACCCATCACCACCCTCCGCATTACTAACAGAAGTTTCTTGCAAAGATTTCGCCTTTTCCCTTCTTTGTTCCCTTTTCAACCGCTTAAGCGCTTTGGCCGCAGATAACGGAATGACCTCATGCCGTTCTTCTCCTGAAGTCTGTTTCTGCAACGACGAATAGGCCATCTCCAATCCATCCCCCTTCTTCCCCTTTTCCTCACCCAAAATCCCTGACTCATCACCTCCCTCCGTATTACTAGCAGAAGTTTCTTGCAAAGATTTCGCCTTTCCCCTTCTTTGTTCCCTTTTCAACCGCTTAAGCGCTTTGGCCGCAGATAACGGAATGATCTCATGCCGTTCTTCTCCTGAAATCTGTTTCTGTAAGGACGAATCGGCCATCTCTAACCCATCCCCCTTCTTCCTCTTTTTCTCACCCCTCTTCTCAGACAGTTCTTCGTCTTCCTCATCTCTAATCTGTTTCCTGCGTTTTTTCGACGATTTGAGCTTTTGGGTCACGGATTCAAGAACTGTTTTGAGCTGTTCTTCATATTTGGAATCTGGGGCTTCTCCTAAAATTTTCCGTCCGACCAGCAATTTAGCCTTTGTCGCCCTTAGCTTCTCCTTCAGCTTCTTGTTCGATAAAACCATTGTTCAGTAATTAGGGTTTTTCTCCCCTTCGTTGCTGGGATGGGTTGGTTCATAACGAGGAGCAAAGAACCCCTACCAAAACCCACACGGCAGTTAACTACGACGTATATTGCTAAAAATTACTCCCTAAAATTGAATTTACTTGAACACATTGGTTCCAAAATCAAAATTAACTTGGGAGTGCAATTGAAGGGAGTGTGGGACCGTGTTTGGGTTGGGGCGGGGTGGGGTTTACCGGAGATCAATTTTACGAACGGGACACCGGAGCATCCCCGAGTCATCCCATGACATTAACCAATGTCATGGAACCGGCCTCTTAGTTTAAAGTTATAATTGTTAAAAAAAATAAGCAAAAAAATGGTGTTCAATATTCTTTTCAACTTGCATGATTGCGTGATTTCCCTAAATATATTGGTAGTTCATATTTCATGAACTGTTCCAATACAAAATTTCACACTTTTCTTTCTCATTCATTTTAAAATAAATTTGAATTTTATACTCTCACATTTTGTATTAAAAAAATACAGAGTCTACCATATATTTTTATTGGGAAAATATTCTTTAAGCTCATTCAAACTAACCAATAACAAAAGAGTTACAAATAAACGTGGAACATGTTGTGACGCGACCATATTTTGGATAGCACAACATCTCGTACCTTCTTCAGGAATTGCACATTCTTTGGGACTAAAGAACCAGATGTATCAAAAGCATACCCCAAAGATTAATATTTACATTTCATTGATTTACATTGACACAATATCAATACAATCAAAAAATTTCACTCACATTTTGTCAATTGTCAATGTAAGCCATTAATCTCGCACCTACATTGACACACAATATAAGTCTTAACCTTTGGGACACCTAGAGTTTTGATTGGTGTTCAATTTCTCTTTTTTTTTCAAAAAAAAAATGTAGAATCAGTCTTTCTTATCTCATTATATTGAGCGGAAAAAATTACCCTGGTAATAATTTTTTAAAGAACAATTTCCAGAAATTTACCACACCAAATGTGAAAAGATGTAAAAGATTGACACTAATTGGAATTTCTCAGCTGCATAGCAGACCATAGCAGGCATCGATATAAAAATCTAGTCCAACAACATTGAGAGAATCTCTGAACATTAGTAATTCAAAACTACCCATGACAAACAATAACAAAATTGTAAACAAAATGTCTGAACAAAAAAAACATGATATTCAGCTTAAAGGATCCCAATCTTGTTTGCCACATCCAGTGCATCAAAGTCGGGGGTGAGCCGAACATATGCCTTCTTGGTTCCATCCGGCCTACATTGAAGACAAAAAAAGGGTATTGGTATCAATGCACAAGATGGGTATAATCATTATATATTATAGTTATGAACATGTTTCTTGTGGGGCTCTATTTTGGAAGATGTTTCTAATGGAAAGTAGTCTATTGGGGGTGGGGGTCATCTTGGATGCACAAGTAATGAACATAAGCTAAAACATTTTATGCTACCAATGTTAGATTACATATAAAATCCTCTTATAAAGAAAAAACCTTCAAAGCCAAAGCTATTCAGAAGAGACATGATTGCTAGAGTATTATACTCCCTCCATCCCATTAGATTATTTTTTACATTGATACGGATATTAGGAAATTAGAAGAAGGTGTGGTTCAAGAGACAAACCAATAAAGGCAAGGATATACAATATTTACCTGATTAGGGTGTTCACTTTCTTCGTCTGGATGCCATACATCTTGCTTACGGCATCCTTAATCTTCTTCTTATCAGCTCGGATATCAACAATGAAGACCAATGTGTTGTTATCCTCAATCTTCTTCATTGCTGACTCGGTGGTCAACGGAAACTTGAGAATTTGGTAGTGGTCCAACTTGTTCCTTCCCGGAGCACTAATGCGAGGGTATTTTGGGTTCCTATCCAATTTCAATGTCTTCGGCCTATGGAAAGTGACCTTAGTGCGGATGTTCTTAGCCTTCTTCTTAAAGACAGTTCCTTTCACAGCCTTGGCCACCTTTTCGGCCTGAGCCTTGGAATCAACTTTCTTGGTGGCTTTATCTGTAGTAAGAACACTCTAAGAGATTACATATCCATAGAGAAATACAATGGTGATCATCATACCCCAGAACCAATGTCAACTTACACAAAACATCTTTATACAATGTCTCGCAAATACTAAACGAATAGGTGTATTAATAAAGCAGCCAAATCTCTAGCTTGTACAATTTTTCATAGATGAAAAAAACACAAGTGATAATTTCAGTCAATGTAACTCAGGGGTCTATTTTGATATTTGAGTAATATACTCACACAAATCAGGTCTATTCTGTATTTTGACATTATGCACTTTGAGATGAAAAATTGAAATATCACTTCAAAAATAAAACACCTAACATCCATACAAACACAGCAATACAGAGGTTTCAGTGGACTGAAGCCCATCAACATTCTGAAAGCCATTGATTCAAAATCATTTCTAAAGCAGCCCAACGCTGAATAAGATAGCAGATGAATCAATTCAACTCAGCAAACACGAAACTCATCAGAATTAATCAGAAAAACACGTTCAGAAGGCCATCGATCCAAAGCTTAAACGTCCGAAAAGTGAAAATGCAGAGTGCCAAGAAAGCAGATGAGTAATTTCTACTCAATATTTCTCAGAAGAAGACACAAGTTCATTCGAACTGCGTACCTTTGGGAGCCATTGGTGCGGCGGATCACGAACGAAACCCTACCTAATCGAATAAGAAATGCGAGCAAATCGGTGGTCAGCAGACGATACAAACGACGAAGAAACGCGCAGATCTAGAAATGCATGAATTTATATACAGCAGATCGATGCATATAGATTGCGTGTTAGAGATAAAAGGTGAATCGCAGAGGGGAAGATTGAGCTCACCTTGAAGGAGACGAAGAAGCGGCGACGGGGATTAGCAGCGGCGAGTAGGATTTTGTACCCCTAATATAGAAGCGCTAGGGTTATGTTCTTGGACCGTAAAACGATTTTACTTTATGATGGAATTAGAATAAATTGAAATAAATATTGTATTTTTCATATTTTAAGATATGAGAAGAAAAAAATGAGCCCAAAGAAGAATTAGTGTAATTTATAATTCATTTGTTTAATTTTTATTTCCATTTTTTAGGTGTCACAATTTTTTGTATCGAATCATTTTTAGTACAGAGTAATATTTATGTGATATTTACTTTTTCTTACTTTCTTAATGCCAATTTTATCAACATTATTTTTATTTCTAAATTTGCATGTCACTAATGCATATTTTATTAGTGACAAAAATAGTCTAACATTTGTTCAATCAAACAAAAATTGGCTCGCACTTTATTTTACACCCGTAAAAAAAACAAAAATTATGTCATCTCTAATAACATTAACTCGGGGACCAATGTTGCTAATTTTTTGTTACAAATTACACATTTATATTTTCATATATTATGCACATAAAAATGAGTTAAATAAGGAAAAATAAATAAACTACGACTACTAAATTATTATAAAAAGCCCAATTAATGGTGTAAAAAACAATTTTGAATTAATATTAGTAATAGTATTAATAATAATAATCATAAAAATAAAGCATGCATAATAATCATTATAACAACAACAACAATAATAATAATAACAATAATAATTGAAATAAAGATAATATGAAAAATGTGTGTACATATTTTTTTTAAGTGGCTGTTAGAAAGAGTTAAAAAACTCGAAGACGTTGAAAAGATATATAGAATGTTCTCAGATTTCATAGGCTGGGGCCATATGATTTTCTTTTATTTTACTTCTGGAAGAATATTCAATGAAATAAAAATAAGTAAACTTAGAATGATTTGGGAGGTATTGGACGGGACCAAAACGCCAGACAGTCGCCCGCTGGGTATCCATTTAGAATATTGATTGATTAATTAATGCAAAACGCACTTCAATCCCGTCCCTCTTTGAAAAAGGATTTGCATTACTTGTATAAATTTTTTTCTTGATTATTGTGTTTTGTTGCAGAATCGCATTACAATCTACAAAAGAGAGGTTCCCGTGACATTGAAACCCCATGTCATGAGATGATCCGGGGCCGCTACGGTGCCTCATTCATAAGATTGACGGTTCTTAACCCCCCCAACCGCACCCCGACCCGAAAAACTGGATATTTTTTTTATAGAATGGTGTTTTCTAAAAAAACTCTTTTAAGTAAATAAAAAAACCACACCCATGAAACTGCAAATAACTGGGAGTACTTCAGAAATAGTAGAGAGAAAGTAATTACTGTGACAAAAAGTAAATGTCAAAGTAATATTCAAGTGAGAAAAGAAAATCAATTACTAAACAGACATAGACGACGACTAGTATCTTCTTCGGGGACTTCTTGAACGATGAACTCGAGGTGATCTGCAAATCACAAATAAATGATCCAATTAGAACAGTCGTTAGTAGTACGTAGTATTATGCAATGCGAATGCATCTACGCTCACTTTTCGGCGATATGCCAAAGACACAAATTGATATGTGAACAAATAACTCCCACTTCACCATTCATACCAATGGCTTCATTTACTTTTTTTGTTTCCCTTAAGGTCCAGTTTGGTACATGGAATTCAAACTATGGAATTAGAATTGAGGACTTCAATTCCAAATCTAGTGTTTGGTAGCACAAAAATTATGTGGATTTAGAATTGATAGTGCAAAAAATGAATTGGAATTGGTGAATTCAATTCTATGGAATTGAATCTCATGGAATTTCAATTCAAATTCAATTCCAATTCCATCAATTCCAAATACCAAACAGACCCTAATAGTTTTGTTCGACGTTGCACACGGGCCATCACCTTCAGATGTTATTTTTCAAGAGTTGCAACTTCTGTTTTTTCAAATTTCACGTTTGCCCAGTACCTCTATATGTGTCCTTCGGACCAAGATTCTTAGTGTCCGTTTGGAACATGGTATTGGAACTGAAGTCCCCAATTCTAATTTCATGGCTTGAATTCCATGTACCATTCAGAGCCTTAATTTCTGTATGTGTTTCTTTCTTTGGTCAGTGCTCTAATTTTGTTTGTGTACTATCATTTGTCGTTCTGCCCCTGTGTTTCGAGCCAGTGTCTCTTAGAAACAGTCTTCAACTATAAGATAGGGGTAAGGTTTGCTGTTTTCATACACACGCCTCCCACAACCCCACATGGTAGGATTTTATTGGGTTTGGTGTTTATACCTCCAGCCTTTTCCTAGGGGTAAGGTTGGAGCATACACACACCTCTCACGGCCCCGCTTCATGGGATTTTACTAAGTTTGTTGTTGTACACTTGAACTTTGTCAAATACATCTAGATTTTGAACAATAACAAATTTTCTGAAAAGCAGAAAACTGATCGTGTTTTATACCAAAAAACAAACCTAATGTGGCAATAAAAAGCATATTAATAGTGTCATTGCAAGGTTTTAGGGATATTCTTTAAATTTTTATTTTACAATTGTTATTAAAAAAATCCAACAATGGGATATCACTATTCCTTGCACATTTAGAATTCATAATATTATTATAGCTGAATTATGGAGCATTTCATAACCTACCTCCGTGAGTTCCTCCTCTTGAACGAGCCTCTGCTAAATGCCCAATCAACATGAATGATTTGAGTGAGAATCTCAGTTCCATCTAGCTCACTGATTGCCTTCTTTGCTTCTTCAAAGTTTTCAAATTCAACCAGAGCATAGCCCTACAGGAAAACATGAGCAGCCTACTCAATAGCACAACAGAAGGAAAAAATAAATGTGCAATTACACGCATCTTATGTACGACGCTTTAGACCAGACACAAAACAAACTCAGTGGTAAGCACAAAAATTTTCAGGACTTTGCTATCCTTCTAATTTAAGGCTAACTCGATGCTACAAATCACCTTGACAAATCCAGTGCGACGGTTCAGATTCAGATGCAAGTTCTTTATGTCTCCAAATTCACCAAAAGCATTAAGTATATCATCCTCTAGAGCCTCTTCGTGAACCCCAGTTACCAAAATAATCCATCCTTCAATCGCTGCAAGAATCTAGCACTGTCAGACCCTTGATGTAAAACAATATATTACCACTGTCCAACCGTGAAATTTACACTTTGACTTGGCCGAGTTTAAGGAAAGTGTTGGGAAAGAAAAAAGTGTGATTGGAATTTAATCGTGAAAGAAAGAAATGTTATGAGCCAAAAATTCCTTTCCTAAGAAGGAAATAAGAGAAAGTGAAAATAATATTTTGAGACGAACAACAAAAGAAAATGTAAAGTTCATTGCGGGAAACAAGGAAAATTCTTCTCAAATCTTGAAGCAGATACAAATAACTGGCCACTTGAAAAAGATCACAAGTAAAAGACGAAAATAACTGACCACTTCAATTCCTGATAGTCACTTGATATACAAATAAATGATCACTTGAAAAATGATAGAACCCAAGAGTGACAGAGAAAACAATTGAAGGGTAGTCTTTATGAAATTATAAAATCAAGATCTAAATTCATAAAATAATACAGATGAAGGGAAAACTTTATCAAAATATGAGCAAGAATCTTAAACTCGTATACATAATAAAGCCAAGGAGAATCTCCAGTAATAAATATTGAATTACTTTCTGGATAACATCTACAAATAATGAACCTCAATATTTATAGAAGCAAAATAACTACAAATCCCTAGAATTTAGGCCCACTACCACATTACCTAGTAACTATTCCTAGACTTTAGGCTCACTGACACATCACTTAGCAACTACTCCTAGAATTTAGGCCTCTTACACATTATTTACTACTTAGTAACTAACATATGTATATAATAAAACATTTCACCTGATAAACAAATGACCCTAACTGACTGCATTATAGATATTAATAACATAACAGGATTAACAGCATATGTGGCACTCTATCGAAAAAGATAGGAATAAAATTAATTTTGAAGACAGCTCTATGCATTTAAGTCATGATACTTTTGGGTTGATCACAAACAAGAAAATTTGGTCTTTTGTTTTATTTTCCCTTTAACAGCCTCTCTACTTTCAAGTAGGGGCAAGGTCTGCGTACACACACCCTCCCCAGACCCTACTCTTGTGGGATTTAACTGGGTTGTTGTTGTTGTTGTTTTATTTTACCTTTAACTGCTTATCATTATGTTCTCTCATCTAAGAGTATCCTGATCTAGAAGCTGAGAAGGAGCTTCTCTTTGTGAGAAATCGGCAGCAGTTGCCATCCCCTTTGCTTCATTCAATTATTAGGTTAATGTAGGTACATTACCACATGGAATATGGACATCCACCATAAGTAAAACACCTTAAGAGGTAGTGAGGTGGATTCTTATAACATACAAATAAGCCTACACTCAGACAACGTGATTAAGGATAGCCAATTTGACGCATTCTTAGTTCCTTACTACTAATTACAACAAGTATCTGCATTCAGCACAAACAAAAAAGGCAGAGAAAGAACCCTTGCTCTCTTGACTCTTCCTTGAGACTAGTCCAACTACCTTAACCAACTATTGATTCACAATACTGTATCCAATTTCTCAATGCTGTATACAAGTAGCAAAGATCAAAAGTCAATCTTCTACGAGTTATCAATTTAAAAATTCATCAGAAATTTGATTTTTGCCCAAATATTGAGTTCTTTAGGTCAATTCATGTTCAATATTTCCCAGGGTATTCAGAATAAATCTTTAAAAATTCAGAATAAGCCAATTCAGTTCTTTAAAAATAAATCTCTACCAAATTATGTACAAACCATAGAAAACGAAACAAGCACTGCCTTTTATGATTCTCTGTAACTACTTAGCAATTTCCAAACTAATTTTCACAGTTCAATTACTATACTTAAAACCATGAAGCTGAAAGTATCAATGGTACAATTGCAAAATCACGGAGAAGGAAAGAAAGGGGAACTGACATCGTTCAGGACCAGGGCCACCGTCGGAGACAAGCGAATCGAAGGGAGCAGACAAACGAGCATTGCGTTCGGCCTCAGCAGCCTCTTCGCGGAAGCCGCGGCCCTTTGTTTTCTTTGGAGCAGAGGAGTCGCCGATAGTGGACTTGATCCTGGGAATTGGACCCCTGGGGGAAGCATCGGCATCTTCGTCCATCAGATCGTCGTCCTCGGGCTCAAAGTCCAGCGCCTCTACCTCTACATTAGCCATTGCTATGCTGTGATTCCAAGCAACAAGTATATATAAGGTCTATTTTGATTTATGAGTAATATACACGCAAATCCTGCAAAAACAAATCATTATAAATTTAAGAATAAAAATGCTTGTATCCCACTTGTTTTACCTCAATCGTAACCCAAAGATTTGCACGACACTTTAAACTTACACTAGCACAAAATGTAAGTGCAAAATTTTTCGATCGCACTCAGTATGAGCCATTAAAGTATCAATGCAAATCTTTGGGCTACAATAAATAGGGTACACCTAGCATGTTCCGTATCCTAACATTATGCTACTTACTATCTGAGATGAAAAATTGAAATAGCACTTCAAAAGTAAAACCCCTAACATCCAAAAACACAACTATACACAAATTCTAAGACTCGAGTGGTTCAACATTCTAAAAGCCATAAACACAAGATTAATTCTAAAGCATCCGAACACAAAACAAAAATGCAGACCACCAATGCAGCAGATGAATAATTTCAAGTCAACATTCATAAGACAACACGCTCTGAAAGCCATTATATCAAAGTTAAAGCGTCCGTACAGTGAGAATGCAGAGTACTGCGAAAACAGATGGAAAATCTCCACTCAATGATTCTCAGAAGAAGACACGGTAGAACAAGTTCCTTCGAACTGCGTTCCTTGAGCCGTTGGTGCCGCGCGTCGCGAACCTTACCTGATGGAATCGGAAAAGCAAGCAAATCGGGTTCAGTAGACAATCTTAAACGATGAAGAAACGCGCGGATCTAGAAACGCATGAATTTATATCCAGCAGATGGATACATAAAGCATATAAACATACGATTAGGTGTAAGAGGTGAAGATGAATTACAGACGGCAAAGGCAGTGGCGAGCAGCGAGTAGGGTTTGTGTAGGGAAAAGGGAGTTAGTACTAAGATAACGTAATTTTCCTTTAAAAAAATTTAAAGGCGTTTAATCCTTGGTTCCTTGCAAATGTTATTCATATCTTGTAAGTTTATAATGCTTCCATCCCTTAAACTCTTTCTCCTTTCCGTTTTTTCTTGTTTCATTAACTCATTTTCTTATCTATTAAAAAATTATTTTTACCTCTAACTTTTTATTAATAATCTTTCCATCACATCAAAGGTATTTTTGGAAAATTAACACCAAAATATCTCTCCCTTAATTTCCTAAAAAATCAATAAGAGAACGACTTTAAAAGACAGAGGGAGTATATTCTATATATTTTCTCCGAAAATTGCTCCTCTGTCATTTTTCAGTGACAGTGATGATGATACATCTCTTCCTCGTCAAGCATCCCCTCCACCCACTCATTAGAAGAAGAAGGATAAAGAAATTTCGGGATGGAGGTGGATCAGACTCCTCTAATACAGATCCAACATAGAATTTCAAAAAAAAGTATTTGGGGGGTGGGGTGGGGGGTTACTACTCTCACTCTGAAAGGAGCTACGAAGAAGACGATGGAGAAGAAGACTGTGAATCTGTGACATCTGCGGAGATCTTTTGACATGTCTGAGAATTAGCTCAATTTTTCAGAAGCTACTACATATCCGGCTAAACCTAATCGTTTCCAACAAAGTAAGATCTATCTACTCTCTTTTACTTGCGTGTGAAAAATTGAATGTTTTTGGCAAACTGATGATGCGAACTTGAACATGCTATGAACGAAAGTTCTAAATATGTGATATTGTGTTTTACTATAATGTCACCAATTTAATGTTGGAGACTTACAGTTCACATTTATGCTTGTATGGTCTGTGCTATTTTGGCCTATCTCTGTTTTGAAGTGTGAAAGGCTACGTATTTATCTAGTGATATAAGTTGTGTTATATGCTTCTAATAATTCATTATGTTTTGTTATTCTAATATTTATCTCATGATTTAAGTTGCAATATGTTGTTCTGCATATACTTCACTTTATAAAAAAATACAAATACCACGCTTTTGATTATGAAATGCAAATAATTCACTTAATAAAAGAATAGATATTAAGCTTTTGATTATGAAATGCATGTACTTCATAATAATTCTAAAAAGATAGATACTACACTTCTTCTAAATAAAAGATAAATACTACACTTCTTTTATAAGGGTCTTCTTTCTATCGCAGTGCATAGAATGTGGCATTTTCCTTTGCGATATTGAACCATTTCTCATCAATATGAACATAATAATAACAAATATGAAATTTTGGGTTCAAGGGAAGTCATGAGGCAAAAATATGATCCAAACAAAAGGTCAGCCTTTTTAGCTTACCCGAGTCTGATAAAAATATCTTGATGGCATGAGAATGTCTCCTTATAGCCTTTCTTTTTAGCCATCTAGGGACTATAGATTTAGACACTTCCATTGCATAGCCAACTGCATGTATGTTCTTGCGCATATGAAATAAAACTACCAGTATCTTTGAAATATTCACAGCCACTTCTTTTTTGTCAGACATACCTTTCCACTAGCAATCACCAGCAATAGGTAGACCAACACGCATCTGACCTCTAGTTAAACTCCATATGTTCCATGCTATTTTTCTTGATATCTTCAACTCTCTTGCCACTGCTTGAATGTAACCATGCTGATGTTTGTTATCTTTATAAACTGTAGTAATTTGTCTGCTACTCTTCTTTTTCTTTGGCTGCATTGTTCCCCAAATTTTTACTTATGAATTTGCTACCTCTCCTTCTATTTGTGCATGAGTTTTAAGTTCGAGCAGGGAGACTTGAACAAATTGTGGGGGGGGGTTCTCACTGGGAGAATCATCTGCTGAATTTAGAGAGAGAATCAAAAGAAGTCGTAGATGGTGAGGACTCCATAAAGAAGAGAAGAAAACATTGAATGCATTCAATGCTTTCTATTTATAGATATAAGCATTAATTTGATTTTTGTAATTGGAAGGAACTTGAAAATTTCCCCAAATATTTCTCTCATTGTAAGTTTGGTTTTTGTAATGAATAGTAATGTAATCATTAAATTGATTTGATGCTCCAACTTTCCCTTTTTAATTAGTTTCAAGTACAACCACTTCCACGATTACATCTTTTTTTTTCTTATAATCAACGGGTTGGGGGTATTTTGGGCAAACCAATGCCAAATTATCCCATCCTAATATGGACTAATAGTCAAAATGAGTAATTTTTGAGGGACAAAGGAAATATTTATGAGAATAAATTTAATTTTCATAATTCTTAATCATATGAGCCTGATTCCATGGCCACTGGATTCTAGTGGCCACGAAAGCCACTGCCCCCATACGGAGCTACGTTTATAAAATTGATGATTCCTACCCCCTCTAACCCCCCGNGGCCACTGGAATTCAGTGGTCATGGAATCGGGCTCTAATCATATCCATATATGCAAAGTTTGAATCATATATACAAATTGCTGACATTATAAAAAACGTTTAAAAATAATAAAACATACTCGATATTAAAAATATACTCCCTTTGTACCTGAAAACCTTTCTCCTTTCTTTTTTCATCCGTCCCTAAAAACTCTTCTCATTTCTATTAAAAAGTCATTTTTACCTTTTACTTTTTTCATACCCTATCTATCACATCATACCTTTTTACTAATAATATATCCATCAAATTATACTTTTACCCATCACATCAAAGGATATTTTTGGAAATTCAATACCAAAATACATTATCTTTAAATCCCTGTTCAATTTATGGACGGAGGGAGTATTATGCAAAAAGTATGGTTGGAGAAAGTACTAAAAAGTAGATTGCTACATGAGTATTATTAATTTAAATACAATATGCAGTCTCAAATTTTACAAGAGCAATGCTAGGGGTACACCTTTGGTCATTTGTCCCCCATCCCCTTCTTTACCACTCATTTTTATATATTTTTTATTTATTTATTTATTTTTAAAATTTTTGCCCATTTTTGTGATAATGAAAAGAATGAGGGACAAATAGGGTACACTTTTAGTGTAGTCCCATTTTTTCATTTTACAATGAGATGCTTTTTACTTCAAGTATAATGAATGAATCTACTTGTACATCACATTAATATTTTTCCAAATCTCCAAATTCACCACTGTGCGAGGTAACATCAATGGAAAACCCCACATTTCATCAGATCAAACCGAACCTTGTCCGCCATTGCAGAATGACTCGATCTCCATCACTCGCAAAACCCTAGACCCATTCCTCCATCCATTTCAATGTCTCCCACATTCAAGCAAATCCTCTTCCTATCCTTCTTCCCCTGCTTCTTGCTCTACATCATATTCCTCCTCTCCCTCCGCCCCCGCGCCCAGTTCCGCCTGCCGCCCGCCGTCCCTCCGCGCAACGGGCCGCCGCCCCGAATTGCCTACTTTGTCTCCGGCACCAACAACGACGGCTCCAGGATCTTCCGGCTGGTCCTGGCCGCGTACCATCCGAGGAACTACTACCTGCTCCATCTTGACCAGGCCGCGTCGGGGAGACAGAGGGAGGAGCTCGCGCTGTTGGTGGATTCCGTGCAGGTCTTTGCTGCCGCTGACAATGTCAAGGTCGTTGGGAAGGCCGACGCCGTCAATTGCGACGGATCTTCGCCTCTGGCATCTGTGCTTCACGGCGCTGCTGTTTTGCTCCGGTGGAGGAACGATTGGGATTGGTTCATTAACCTTGATGCGTCTGATTATCCTGTAATTCCTCAAGATGGTAAGTTTCTTCGTTCCTTTTTTCATGATTTATGCTGTTTCCACTTTCCTTTCTACTGAATAAGCATTATTCATATGAACTTTTTAAGTCTGATTCAACCAATTTGCATATCTTAGCTGAACTCCTGAGCTAATGATATCGGGTGTCTGGTCATCCCAAGAACTGAATCACATTTAGCTAAATCCACTAATGAATCAAAGGAAGGTGTCGAGCACAGATTATGTCCACAGTATATATTTCTCCATCACCCCGAGAAAATACAAATTGTAACAAAAGTTCTGCATAATTCGTCATCCCGTCCATAGAAAAAAATTCTTATGATTGAATTTTGAAGAACACGGAGTGATTGGTTACTCTATCTAGTTATACAGAGCGTAAATAGTGTTTATTAAACTGGAAAATATTTCCTTTCATTTCAAATGGAAAATTTGAACTTCAGGTTCCATTCGTGTAATTTTCTTACTCGTCCTCTCTTTGTACTTATATTGGCATTGTAATTTTCAGTTTTCATTCATGGCTCATTATACTTGTTTTTCAGATTTTCTCCATGCCATGTCTGTTATTCCAAGGAGTTACAACTTCATGGTGCATAGTACAAACGCCACTTCACTAGAGTAAGAAACTCGGTCTTTAGAAATGATTTTGATCATATTCCCTGCCAGACAATCTGTTGAATTTTCTAATCTTATCACCTAAACATGTCTCAGTTCCCAAGTGATTATGGATATTATTGTTGATCCTCGCCTCTACCTTCTTACAAAGGGGAAAATGTTTACAGGCAACAAAAAACGTGAAGTGCCAGATGCTTTTAAAATATTTATGGGTAAGTGTCTAACCATGTCAATACCCAGTCAGCTTTAAGTATGCTAGTAACTGTGATAAATATATGTAACATTGGAAAGACTGCCAATGAGATCAAGAATATACAGATGGAATAATATTCTAATATTAACCAAAGACACATCAAGATTCCTTGTCTTTCCGATAATGCATAAGCTCTCACTTAAGAGAAGTACAAGTAGTACTGCTCAGTAAGAAAAGTTTGTCTATGATTCGTTCACCTAATTTCTATTTGATCATTGTTGCCTATAATTTCTTTAATCCATTCTGCTTTATTATGGTACATCTGACAAGACAGGTGAATATTGGTGAATAAAATTTGGTAGAGTGTACTACCAGAATTTTTATTTTTCGGGTGATTTAATGCTCGTTTAATAATAATGTTAAAACTCGAGCCATGCGTGATGCGTCCATTGCCGATGGAGCTAAAAGAGATGTTTTTGACAATACCTTAGCTTCGGGTAAATAATGGACTAAATCAAAATGGCACATACAAGTTCCCTTGCTACTTACTTTCTATGAAGTTTCAGGCACTAAATCCATCAAAGGTGTAATGGAAACAACCCATCTTTTCTTTAGAGGGGTAAGTTTGGGTATAAGAGTAGAATCAGTCTTCAGCCCCAAAATAATTTATATGGCATGGTTAAAAATAGTTCTGAACCAAATTAGTTTAGTTGAATCAATTTTATTTGCATTTCCAGGAATCATTACTTGTATTATTTTTGTGAACTTTCAAGTATAACAAAGCTGTTTTTTCCTTTTCTCTAATCTATAAACTATTTTATTTCAATCTTGCTAATCAGCCCAAATTGGGGTTTTGTGCTATGCTTCTCTGTTAAGTTTTTGCTTATTAACGGCATGACAGTTTATTTTCATTTTTGTGATTGAATCTTGCTTTGAAAATTTTCAGGCTCTCCACATGTAATACTAAGCCAAAAGTTCATTGAATATGCAATTCAAGGATGGGAAAATCTGCCAAGAATCCTCCTATTATACTTCTCAAACACCAGGGCTCCTCACAAAGGCTACTTCCAAACCCTCGCTTGCAATTCTAAAGATTTCTCGAGCACCCTCATAAACTCAAACATGCGTTCTACCGTTTTTGACAGCACTTATCAGATAGACCTCACAAAGTCCATAGTTTTAGATGTCAATGCAATGCAGGGAGTTGCTGCTTTTGTTGAGAATGTTTCCGGAGACAATAAGTTATTGGATGTGATTGATTCCCAAATACTTCAACGTAGTCAACAGATGGTCTCGCCCGGGGGATGGTGCTTGGGATGGTCAGACTGGGGCCGGGACCCATGTCTCCAATGGGGTGACCCTCTCGTTCTCAGACCGGGGCCCGCTGCTGAAAGATTCGAGAAACATCTTCTGAATTTGATTGGGAATGAGACAATCGGGCCAAGCAGATGTGATCAATAGCCGATCTCCAATTCGCCATCATACCTCTCGGCTTGGCATCTCTTCCATTTTTGTTTACAGGTTATGATTGATCTACCAGAGAACATGATTTTTTTCTTGTGGGTTGTGAGTTGTGACACACAAGTTGCATGGCAAGTGTATCATGGGAATTGTAGATAAACTATACTAGCGTGTAGTAGGGCATGTTTGGGAATAGCGTTAGTGTTTTGGATAAAATTTCAACGGTATAGATCAGTTTGAAAATACTATTGTTAAACGTTGTCCATAGATAGCTTTTTTCAAAACGCTTAACGCTAATCTCTAACGTTATTTCCAAACAGGCCCGTAATCAAACATTTAACAAAAATGGTGTATTCTATTTCTCCACACCAATTGTTGCATCCTCCCATCTTCAATCTTTTTGTATGGGGGCAAGACCGAGAAACTATATAATTTCGAATCAATGTCCTGGGTTGACTCGGGATCCTATCGTGTTCCGTTCAAAAGATTGACGATTTCTACCCTTTTAACTACGTTATAAACACTTATCCTGGCCTGATTCGAACCCACCTCTTTCAATGGCATTCCCAAATTTCATTGCATATTACAAGGATTTGGAGAAAGGGAATTGGGAGAAGAAAGAAATGATGGCGGCGAGAAATGATAAGAAGAATTGGATGGAACTAAAAGGAAAACGGATGATATTATTGATATACTAGAAAGTGAAAAAGATTTTGTTTTATAAAATGTTGTCATGGACAATAAATAAATTGTTGTTGACACCACAAGTTTTCCAAAGTATTTACTTTTTCTTGAAATACCTAAAATAAATTTTTTAGTCTTTTTAGTAAAATAATGACGTGATTCATATGATCACTCGGGCTACATAAATTTCATTCGTATAATTTATTCATTCCTTAAAGTTTGTTTAAAACAAATTACTCTTTTTAAACATTAATACTCCATATCACTTTTACAATGTACTCCATATCCATATGTTCCAAATTAAATTACGGAGTATATGTTTACTATTCACATTGTCAAACTTTATTTACTTCTTCCGTCCTAAAACTTTCTTCTCAGTTTGATTTTTCTTCATTTTTAATTTTTGGCTTTGACTTCAAATTTTACCCTCATTAAAAAAGAATTTTTTGAATTTTTTTGCAATCATTCAAAATATAGAGTTAGAAGATAATTGGCGTAAATACATGAGGGTATTAATGTCATTTGTCATCTTTTTTTTCTAATGGGAAGGTAGTATTAGGACGGAGAAAAAGGGGAAGTGGAAGAAAGTTTTAGGACGGAGGGAGTACTTTATTTCTCTATTTTCGTTAGTCATTTGAAAAAATAATGTAATCATATCACCACTTGTTTTGTATATCTTTTAATGTAGTTTTTAAACATGTAATTTTTATTTTTTAATTCTACATCATTTTTTATATAAAATGATTTAAAAATAACTTTAGTCAAACATGGTAAACCGAAATAGATAATTTAAATTGGGATATATGAAGTAATATTTATTTGTACATTTTCAATTTATTAAAATATCTAGAGTTATTGCCTCCGTCTCGAGTCTATGACCTTCTATTTTAACGAATCACCATAATACCGTTGAACGGCAAGGTCACAACTCACAAGGTCTCTGACAACATAAAAAAAATTAAACTTAATTCGGAGACAAATGGATTACAAAAATAATAGACACATGACATCATGGAAAATCATTCCTTCAATAACGCATATTTTTGTGAAAGTTTCTTATTTGCATTTCAGACTCTTTATATGCACAATTGTTTCCCTTTTGTCTTCCTCCACATGCTATATATATATATATATATATATATATATATATATATATATATATATATATATATATATATATATATATATATATATATATATAACATCAGAATCTCTCAATTCTTTACCAATTTTAGCTTGACAATTGCTTTATTTGGCCTGAATTTCTAATTTTCAAGCATATCGAAAATTAGTAAGTACTCCATAATTATTTTGAAATTAGTGGATATTTTAGTTTTCAGATAGTCTGTATTTTATTAATTTACGGTTTTCAACATTTTATTTTTTAGTTTATACTCTGTATTGAAGCTTTAAACTATTGAGTTTATTTATATTTAAACTATGGAATAGATATTTTAGGCAGTCACAAAAAATGTGATAATATGTTGAGACATTATAAACAAAACAGACAATAAAAAGATAACATGATAAGCAGCTGCTAGCAAGGCATTCACAAAAAAAACGTTGTCACGACTCACTACCAAGTATATACATACACCCTTTGCCATAAAATTTACTATCTTTCTATTCATTATATATTGGGTCAAATTTTCTCTACTTTGCAATTATATTATTTGTTATTTATTTAATAAAATAGTTATAGTCATGTCACTTATAGTTTTGTAGATTTTTTATATGTTTTTTAATATATAAATTTTATTTTAAATTTACATCAATTTTCCAATATATTTTTATGAAAATAACGTTAATTAAGCTCTGTAAACCAAAACAAAAAAAATTAGTTTCTGGACGGAGATAGTAGTATCTTCTCCGCCCCAAAACTAAACATTTACTTTTCAAATTAGTACATGTGTCTTTAAACCTAAGTCACCTTTCCTTTTTTAAAAACAATCTACCCTACCTTTTAAATTATTTTCGGGGTTTGGGATCTCATCACGGTTGCTCTTATAGATGACAATCACAATTAATTATACATAAATTATACATAGAGAGACAATAATCATTTGTGATTGTCATCCACGGGAGCAGCCGTTATAAGGTTATAGCGTTAATCTTTTTCAAAACAACCTTTTAACTTGCTTCACCCCGAAATAGATTACACTCGACAGCTTTTATTTGTTTTCATGTTTTTATTGATCATTTGAAAAAATACAACATTCTTACTATTACTTATTTTGTAAAATTTTTGATGTAATTTTTAAATTTAATAACATATTTTTAAATTTTATACCAATTCATAAATAAATTAAACTTAAAAAAAATAAAATTTATATATTTTTTTAAATTGTGTAATTAAATTTAGGAGGAGTACCATAAATTATACTCGTACAAAGGGTACAATAACTCTTCGTCTTTCGCCTTTAGCCCGTAGGCCATAGCAATTTAAGCAAGCACTTCCGGATACGCCACGGCTGTGTAGAGCTTTCGAGTAGGGTTTCCGACTTTCATTTCGCCGTAAAATGGTGGAGGCGGTTAGCAACGTCGACGATCGAGGCGGCGGTTCCGAGGAGCACCTCCTTCTGCCGGAGACCGGAAGTACGGACTGCTCATGGAGGCTGAACTTCGACGGCTTCCAGTTGTCGCCGGATCACAAAGAGAAGCCTCCTCGCGGCCTCCATGATTGCCTCGGCGTTTTAAGTAAGAACTTTCTGCAACGTTCATCTGATCCCATATTCCAAGCAATTGATATGTTATCTTCTTCGCATGTCTATTTTCCAGATGCTCAACAGTGATTTGAACGAATTATATTCTGAGGACTGACACATTTATTCCTAATTCAAGTATTGTATTCCGGTTTAAACTAAACATGTTTGAGTTTTTGAAATATTATTGGAATTGAATCAATTGTGTGGTTTTAAAGCGGCCATACTTTACAAGAAAAGGAAAAAAAGCCTCCATACTTCCCACAAAAGAGGGAGAATCACTTTATTCTTGTTAACAAAACCGAAATGTAGAAACAAACAATTTGGATTTTCTAGTCAGGGTTTGTTCTCCCTTTGCAAAGAAACTAGTTAACTCAATAGTGAATACAATCAGAATGGTAACTTGAAATATACTCTGTCTGCTGTTAAATGCTTTTTGAGCACTTCTAAAGTAGTTGCTATAAATTCTTTTAATAGAAAAATGTTCTAACATGTAAAATATGTGTTAAATAGCCAAACAAAAAAAGATTGTCCATTTGATTGGTGCTAAAACATGCAATTTATAAAGGTGAAGATCTTGATGCACAAAGTTTGTATTTATGTCTTTGGAATATAATAAGAGAATTATTTCAGGGTTTTATTTGCTCAGTTCACCAGCTTTATTTGGACACATTAAATGCTCCTAATTGATCTGCACTTCATTTTTTATTTTGACGATGCAAGCTTGTAACATTGAGGCATTTTCTATTTTTTATCATCATCTTTGAACACATTAGTGGATTAATAATGGAAGTAGGTTCGTCAAATCTGTTCTGTGCCTGAGTATATTACCCAATGATGTGTCACAATATGAATCAATGCACTGGCTATGTAGATGTATCCATACATACGGGATTATTTTGCATACACTCTAATGATATAAGAATATTATTTGGGAATTCCTTTTCATGCATACTGCAAATCTGTTAATGTTCTGCGTGATGTATGCAGGAGAAGAAGATAATGTGGCAGAGTATTATCAGCAACAGGTAGAAATGCTCGAGGGATTTAATGAAATGGATGCCTTGGCAGCTCGAGGTTTTGTGCCAGGAATGTCGAAGGTCTATAGTAGCTATTTTCTTCTAAACACGAATTCCCATCAAATTTTCCTCTCCTGCAAATCTTTAGAAGTTATGTAATGAGCAACTACCCTAATAAGAAAGTGACTGAAAAGTGAGAACCAACTGCTGAAATTAAATGCTGAATATTACAGGAAGAGAAGGAAAAGTTGGTTAAAAGTGAGACAACTGCTATAAGGATATCAAATGTTGCAAACATGGTTCTCTTTGCCGCTAAGGTTTATGCGTCTGTTCGGAGTGGGTCACTGGCCATCATAGCATCCACATTAGACTCTCTGCTTGATCTTCTCTCTGGTTTTATTTTGTGGTTTACAGCGTTTTCAATGCAGACACCAAACCCATATCAATATCCAATTGGAAAGAAACGTATGCAACCTTTGGTTAGTCTCTTTTCTACTTCTCTGAGTTCTGTGCTTGATTTCGCATATGGTCTCTTTGATATAGTAGTGGGCATATCCCCACCAGTTTTTAAGTTGCATCCCATATTTTATACAAAATACTCCTATCATAGGCTTGTAAAATTATGTGGCTGAGGTTCATCTATAAATGAATTTCTCAACTCTCAATATCAACAACACAATTCTTTCCTTAAAAGGAAATTGGAAGATTCTTTTTGGACGATCCTAAAAAAGAAGTGGGGTGAGTAAAGCAGGACAGAGAGAAAAAGTTGTTTAATAGAAGTGCGTGTTTCAATGAAAATGTGCTCTTATGCAGGGAATCCTTGTTTTTGCTTCTGTGATGGCGACCTTAGGACTGCAGATAATTTTGGAATCTGTACGCAATCTTATGTCTGATGTAAGAGTTTATTCTTATTTCTTAATCATTTAGAGTCGTTATCTATGATCTAATCTTAAGTACCATCAGTTAAATTTCTTTTTTGGCTTTAAATTATTTGTATCTTCAAATTTTAAAGTTTTGACTTTTTGACGGCTTAGGCATATTGATTTCACCTACATTACTTCACAGGAAGCCGATTTCAACCTTACTAAAGAGCAGGAACGTTGGGTTGTTGCAATCATGCTTTTTGTGACTCTGGTCAAACTAGTTTTGGTCTTCTATTGTCGTTCCTTCACCAATGAAATCGTTAAAGCATATGCCCAAGACCATTTCTTTGATGTTATCACTAACGTCATTGGCCTTGTTGCTGCATTACTTGCAAATTACATAGTTGATTGGATTGATCCTGTTGGAGCTATTATTGTAAGTTCTTTTCAACTGCACACTTCTTTCGGCCCGCCCCCAATTTTCATATAATTTTTCTGGTGAGTGTAAATGTGGCTGACGTGACCGAGTTGCTGAAGTTGCAGTCATGGCTAAAGCTAAATTGTCAGAATGGTCTAAAAATGTATTTTCTGGGCACTAAGCATGAAGAGCAAATATTAAGAATTCTTTTCTATCTGTCATTTCATTTCAAGTTAGCATTACCTTCATCCCCAAAATAGGAGTCATGTTTCTAATACTAAAGCTTAGTATTACAAACAAAACTCTGATTCTGGTAGGGAAGGACTTCATTTCCATGCTTATTTCAAAGTCTTTTTGCTTTGTGTGGACATGATTATGCAGCTGGCTTTGTACACCATCCGGACGTGGTCAATGACCGTGCTGGAGAACGTGAACTCTCTGGTTGGCAAGTCAGCCACGCCGGAATTTCTTCAGAAACTGACATACCTGTGCTGGAATCACCACAAGGCCATAAGGCACATCGACACCGTGAGGGCCTACACATTCGGGTCCCACTACTTTGTCGAAATCGACATAGTCTTGCCTGCAGACATGCCCTTGCAAGTGGCACACGACATCGGGGAATCCTTACAGGAGAAGATTGAACTGCTGGAGGAGATCGAGCGTGCCTTTGTTCATCTTGATTATGAGTACAGCCACAAGCCCGAACACGCACAGGCGCATCTGTAGTTAAATACTCCGTATGTCACTATTCCTCATGTTCTTCTCTTGGTTTTTAGCTGTAATTAGGCATATGGTTCAGGAAATATGGCCGCGGTTGTATTGTTTGTTGGATCCAAGAATGACACCAAGGTTGACACAACGAAAAACAATCACACACAAACAATTTAAGACAATTGTTTGTGAGATACAACAGTGTCAATTTTTTGTGTCATCCTTGGATGTGATGGTAGTAGCATTACCCTGTTTATTAGTGGGCTTTGAATCACGGTTTGCAAACAGCCAAATTAAGCTTGATTTGTTATTTTCGCCAACATTTTTCTTTCACTTTTGTACCATAATTTTAATTACTTTTGCAAAGGTAAATGATATGGTGGTCCTAACGTTCATGCTATTTTAGGTGGATCTTCATATGGGGATGGTAAGTAACTAGATATGGTATATTGGATATGAGTAATGTTAGGGTCGCAAACAATTTGAACACAAACTTGCTATATGTGTATTTAGTTAGATAACGTTCACACTATTTTATGTGGACCTCTATATAAGGATGGTAAGTAATTAGACATGGTATATCAATTAGATGAAATAATATTTTGAAAATATTTTATACAATAAATTTAATAAAAGTATTTTTATATTAATATCGATTACTTTTTGTGATTAAAATTTACTCCCTTCGTCCCAATTTATATTGCTTATTTTGGCTTACAATATTTGATTGAAATTATTATCAAATTATTTTATATGAAAAACGATGTAGAACTAAAAAATAAAAATTATATATTAAAATATAATAAAAGATCTACGATACAAGTGATGACATGTTTATTTTATTTTATCAAATGATTATTGAAAAAAGTGAATAAAGTTTGGCCCTGTGAGTAGTAACTAAGTAATTTAATTTGAGATAAAAGGTATTCTAATTTTTATCAAAAAAAGTTACTGTATAGTTAGGGGACGGAGGTAGTATCAATAGAGACTACTATATCTAACGGAATAATTTGAGCAATACCATTTTATAGCGGATCTATGCCTTAGGATAGGGGCAATGCCGGTATGCCCCCAACTAATTTTTGGGTTATAAGGTTTTGGGAAATGATATTTGTCCGCCAAAAATTGTACTCTACTGTGTACTTCGAAGTCATCCACTAACATTTTGTGCTAGTGTAATATTTGTGTGCTAATTTACAATGACACAAAATGTTAGTGTAATTTTTTTGATTGAACTAAAATTGTACTAGTGTAAATTAGGGGTGGACACGGTACCGGTACGGTACCGTGACCGGAAACGGTACCGCCGGTACCGGTACCGTTACCGTCGACCGGGACGGTCCACCGGTTCCGGGAACCGGTACCAGTACCGCCCACTCCGGTTCCGGTGCCCATTTTTCGGTACCGGCACCGGCGGTACTGGTTCCGGTTCCGGTACCGTAATTAATTTTTTTTTATTTTTATTTTTTATTTCATTCTTTCCTTTATTAATTTCATTTTTAGAGTTTTTTATTTCATCCTTTATTTTAACAATTACACATTTACAATTCTACACTTTAAAAATTTAATAAAAAAGCAAAAAAAAAAAAATTATGGGTGGCCGAAACGGTATCGGAACCGGAACCGCCGGTACCGGAACCGGAACCGGTACCGGCCGATCCGGTACCGGTACCGGTACCAAGGGGTGGCGGTACCGGAACTGGCGGTTCCGGAACCGGAACCGTCCCGGAACCGTACCGTGTCCACCCCTAGACTGTAAATTGTTAAAATGTTAGTGGATCTCTTGGAGAGTACAATTTGGATGTACATTTCTTGGTATACTTTTAGAATGGTTGGTTAATTTTTTACAGTCATGTATTATTTGACTCCAACTAAAATTGAAGGGACCCCAACTAAAGTGTGTTTCAATGCATATAATTAATATTTTATAAAATAAAATTTTAAATTTCCAATTCAAAAATTTACATTAAAAAAATATTTGAATAAAATTTATAATTTTTCTTATTAATTTAAATTTCTATTAAAAAACTCAGGTACTTTTCCTGAACCACGACCTTTTGTGCCCCTAACTATTTGAAATCCTAGATTCGCCACTGATTTTATACGAAAAATATACAGAATCATCTTGACAACGAATTAAGAAAAATTATTAACAGGTTTATTTTGGTGTCGGGACAAAAATAAGCCTAATTTTTTTTGTATAAAGATAATGATGGATAAAGTTCTTCTTTTTTAATTAATGAGACTTTTTTAGGATAAAAATAAGTTTATAAATTGAATTCTTTTATTCCAATTTCTTTTGTATTTATTCTCAAATTTAAAGTGTTTATTAATCGGACAATAATATGCTTGCCCACTCTTTTCTCATAGATTTTTTTCTTTTCTTTAAATGCATATATTCCCAATATACCGTACACTATATTCTCAGCCAATCCCAATTCCCCCATTTTATTTGGCCGCAACCGCTTAACGACCGCCAGCCGACGACCACTCCAGACGCGACTCCCGGCGGTTTGAATGCCGGAGTGCGGTGGCTGACTAAACTGCGACAAATGCGCCGGGAGATGGACCTCAGCGCTGGAGCTGCATACTCTTCCTCTTCGTCTCCTCCTCCTCATCCCGCTTCGTCTAGGTCGTCCTACGCCACCGCCTCCGCCTTGCGGATTTCCCGCCCCGTTAAGGTCATACCTCTGCAGCATCCGTCGATTGCGGCTTCGTCCAAGCCGTCGGTTTACGGGGATCTCGTGTCGAGGTGGACGGAGAAGGTGAGACGGATGACGTTGACGGAGTGGATTGAGCTGTCCTTACCCTGCTATCGTTGGATTCGGAAGTACAGGTGGCGACAGGACTTGCAACCCGATCTCATTTCTGGCGTCACAGTCGGGGTCATGCTTGTGCCTCAGGTGTCCTTCTACATCTATTATGATTTTGAAATTGTCTCGGTTTCATATATCTTAACTGAATGAATATTGAAAACTATAGCTGTTTATGTACAATTGAGATAATGAAATCAATGAATATAAGTTATTGATATAACCAAAATGATGGTTCACTTTGTCTTTGTCGTTCAACTTCTGAAAACTGGTTGTGGCAAAGAAAGCAAGCATAAGAGTTCTATCTTAAATCAAGCTTTGAGGTATGATTAGTGTTGGGATATCTCCCTATTTTCCAAATGTTAATTAGGTTGGAGTTTATTCTATTTTTGGAGTGTAAATAGAAAATAAAATAAATAGTATAAAATGATGATGTGAATGTTGTTAGTGAGATACATATCTCATTTGAGATATGGGGGTGAAGTGTAGGAGTGAGAAAAGAAGAAAAATAAAGAAAATGGAGTGGGTGTGTGCATGTGTTGTGTACGCAGAATGAAGAAAAAAGAGTGGAACTCATGATGAAGATCCGTACGTGATGGTTGTGTCGAAAGTCTTCCCGACAAGAGGATGTCGGGTGGCGTGTCCCATTGTGTGCGGTGGTGCAAGTTGTGGTGGGTAAAAGGAGTTGTTGGGGATCTTTGTTTATTGAGAAGGGAAAACTACCATGTTGGAGCAGAAGGAACTGTGTCAGAAAATTAAATATGAAGATGAAATGGAGAACCTTTTTGAAGATGATATATGGTCACGTTAGCACAAGAAGAGGTGGACTAAAGATATCAGTGAAGGGTATGAGGAGTGTTCACAGCCAGAAATCTACAAGATGGCGTGTTGCGTCGAAAGTCTTCATGACAAGGTGATGGTCATGCCGCGTGTCCCATTAGTCTCCAATGGCGGTGCAAGATGATGTAGATGATGCACTGTATTTCAACGCGATGAATGAGGAAAAAGGTTTGCTCACAAAGTTGGTTGAAATATTTGGTAAATTAGGTCAAAGGAGGAATTTGTTGGGATATCTCCTTATTTACCAAATATGAAGTATTAATTAGGTTGGAGTTTTTATTTATTTATTTATGGAGTGTAAATAGAAAATAAAATAAATAGTATAAAATGATGATGTGATGTGAATGTTGTTAGTTTGATACATATCTCATTTGAGTACTTGAGATATGGGAGTGGAGTGTAGTAGTGAGAAAAGAAGAAAGAGAAAGAAAATGGAGTGGGTGTGTGCATGTGATGTGTACGCAGGAGGACAAAAAAAGCAAAAAGAGTGGGTCCTTTGTGTTGATTCATGATTAATGTTTTTGGTTGCTTGGCTTATTAAAACAACTTTTGGTAGTGTGAAGAAGTGCTCCCAAGCCCCTACGTAGAGAAGCAAGAGGAGAGAGAGAAAGAGAAGGAGGGGGAGCCAAAAAGAGTAGGAAGATGTATTTCTTATAGATAGGTGAACAGAGAGAAATAATATCAGTTGTTGTACTCAATTGATATTATAGTGAAAAGTGTAATCCGAGAGGATCGTGGTTTTCCCCTAGTTAAGAGGGGTTTCCACGCAATAAATATCGTGTGTTGCTTCTCTTTATTTTTTTCTGCACATTTTTGTTCCTCCCATAGTCCCAGATCTTATCTGTTGAGAGAGTTGTGTTGTTTGAGGGTAATTTTTCCCAACAATCAGTGAGGGCATTTTAGAGTAATGGATTATTATAATAGTGTTTGTGACTTGTGAGAAGTTTTGGTTCGGCATAAGAAAAAAATACCATTGTTGGGGTTGCTTTGAGCTGAAAGCCTACTGATCCAAGAACTTGAGAAAATGAAGATTGAAACTTGAAAGATCAAGTATATATGAGGAATCTTCACTAGTATTGCTACACTATAATGTGTGCCCCTGTTCAAACTCTTTGTGGGTGTGTTTTTTCTTCTGTGTTGTAGAAAACTTCATTCGTAATGCTCTGCCATAATAATGTGCTTCTAAAGTGCTCTCTCTGTCACTTTGGAATGTTTAACAATCACATCACTTTTGACTTTATTTATGTTGAATTTCTAATTATGCTGGTCATCTTAACAGTCAATGTCATATGCAAAGCTTGCTGGGCTTCAACCAATATATGGTCTTTGTAAGTATGCTACAAATTTAAGTCTATTTGCTGCTTTGTGATATAGTGAAGTTTGTTTATGAATATATTTTCGCGTGAAAGGTTTGAAAATGTTAATGGCTAGTGTGTGATTCTTGCTAAGACTATTGATTTTTTATAAGCTGTGTTGCCACTTTTTGAAATTAACATATCCTCTTTTTGTCCCATATTTTAGTTTTCACTTTCTTTCTATGGACATATCAAAGTAGAATTCCCATACGAATTGTGTGGTTCATATTATTTATATGTTTTGCATAGATTTCAACCACATATATTTACCTTTTCTTAAACTCCGTGAAAAGCAACAAATTAATGTTGGGACGGAGGGAGTAATACACAATGAAATTTCCACATAATTCTGTTTACTGATTAACAATCTTGAAACTTTTGCAATTTAGTAAAAACCATGAAATATAATGTTCTGCTGTCCTCTATCTGTATTAGGGCTAGCATGATTGTTTAAGGTCCAAATTAGTTATGTGTTTGTTTCTCTTTCCTTGTATTTTTGTTTATAACTGTGGTTTTTTGTTTCTGGATTTTGTAAGTCAGATTCTGGTTTTGTCCCCATATTTGTTTATGCCATTTTTGGGTCGTCTCGCCAACTCGCAATTGGTCCAGTTGCGTTAACATCCTTGCTGGTGTCAAATGTCTTGAGTGGAATAACAGACCCATCAGACAAGTTATACACGGAACTTGCTATACTCTTAGCCCTCCTGGTTGGCATTCTAGAATGCATTATGGGGCTCTTGAGGTATTTTTTTTATTAAAAAAAATAAGCACAACATGTTTTATCTGACAAATGAGCAAATATACACTGTCGATTCTACTTCAAATAGACAATATGTTTGCTTATTGTTATGGTTCTTTGTTGTTAATGGGTACTATTAGAAATATTGATTGAAACCTTTTAGGTTCTTATTCTCAATCCAATTTATCAATTACCCCATTTTGCTTAAAACAGTGCGATATACAAATGCAGCTACTTAAGTTGAAAATTAATTGCTCAAGAGTCTTCCAATGTCTACGTTGCAATAAGAATTTGTGTGGGGATGTGGATTTGATATGCCACATATTTTCAGCTGTTCAAAATGCCTTTATCTCACTTCATGTGTTGAAATCTTTTGATTCTTATATCAACGTAGGAGCATTCCTTTTCCATTGCTGCTGATATTTCCAACTTATTTCTTGCCCGAATTCAGGCTTGGATGGCTTCTTCGCTTCATCAGTCACTCTGTCATTTCTGGTTTTACTACAGCCTCTGCTGTTGTTATAGCTTTGTCCCAAGCAAAATACTTCCTAGGCTATGATATAGAACGGAGCAGCAAGATTATTCCACTTATCAAGAGTATAATATCTGGAGCAGATAAGGTATGCCTAATTCCCAAAACACTCCATCTATAAGATACTGTGTTTATTTACTTTATATCTTTTGAAACTAATGTTGGTTGATCTTAGGCTGAAGCATACAAATTTTACTCTTCTTTTCTTATAATTACTTTCCTATGGATTTAATTGAAGGGAAATCACCAAACACCCTTTAAGAAAAAAGCTAAAACTATTAGCTCCCTATTGATGTAATTGGATAAGGCAATGTTTAAGGTAAGAAGTTGTAATGGCAATGATGTAACAAGAAGTGTTTTTCGTCTAGCACACTAATCCAGCCCATACAGGACCTATCATGATCTTTAACCTTCATATATCATGGTGCATTGTCTTATGTTATTTTTTACTAATGCACTGCTAAAAACATCTTCCTTGTTGTGTACTAACTGCATTTTCTTTCCGTAGTTTTCCTGGCCACCTTTTGTGATGGGCTCACTTATGCTAGCTATTCTTCTTACCATGAAACACTTGGTATACTCCCATAGACCTTTTTCTTTTCATTGATATATGTTTCTGCATATTTTATATTTATATCTATTCTGCAGAATGCCATTTTTTTCACATGCTTTCATTGCATTGCTCTGCAGGGGAAATCGAGAAAGAACTTGCGGTTTGTACAAGCTGCTGGTCATTGGTGAGAGTGTAATTTAATTAGATAATCTTACTAATCCAAATAAAGGAGCACATTAAAGAATAATTTCCTATTCGTATGCACCTACGTCAGAGTATTGGAGTGCAGATGCATTGTCAAAAGTCCATGGCCTCTCTTGTTTGTTGTCAAGATCCAAATTTCAAGAGGTGGATGGTTTAATTGATAGAATGGGACAGGATCTGAAGTGCCATGGAAGAATATACAAAACCTAAAAATGTTTCTTCACTTGTTAGGGTTTGGCCAGTTACATTGAAGTTGTCAATTATCTAAGACTTGTAATGTCATTGCATTGTTATTTTCAAAATTTTTCATTTCATCAAAGATTCAAAGACCGGTTGTTTTGTTGACTTTAGGCTTTTAAACTTTGAATCTGAGAAAACAAATCAGCAGTCCGTCAATGTAGTGCTTCAAATGTTCTGTTCCTTATTTTAGGTAGGAGCGATACCACAGGGGCTGCCACAATTTTCTGTTCCCAAAGCATTTGAACATATAAAGTTTTTGATCTCAACGACAATTCTTATTACTGGTGTTGCTATCTTGGTAAGCAAGATAAAAGCATGTACATACATGTACTTATTCTGCCTCTCTTCTTAAGAACTGCAAACACTGTTAAATACTTTGTTACATTCTTGAATGTGTAGGAGTCTGTAGGCATTGCTAAAGCTTTGGCTGCAAAGAATGGGTATGATTTGGATTCAAATCAGGAGGTGTGTTTTCTTGGAAAAATGCAACCTACCTTATTTTTCTCAACAATTATTAGAGTTTTTATTGGACCTTCATAAATATTTATCACTTCTCCTTTCTTTCATTATGCACATTTACTGTTTAGCATTTTAGGACATGTCCTATTTTTTGAGTAATTAACCTTCAACTTTTCAAATTGCTTATCCAACAAATTAATGTACTTTCTTATTCAACTGACCCCACCCCACCCCTCACCCCCGAAAATAAAAACCGCCCTCATCATCATTCTTCTCAAATTACAATGTGTACCCGTGCGAGGAAAACAAGAATGGGCATGTCTTGTACTCCCTCTTTTTCACGTACTCGAACCTCTCAAAAACTTTTGTTTATTTGTGTGTTTTCATTGATTATTTGGTAATATAAAATATTCTTGTCACCTATTGTTTTGTAGAACTTTAGACGCTTTTTAACCCGGAGTAATTTTTATTTTTAAATTTCTATACCGATTTTTAAATACAACGATTTCCAAAGACGTTGGAAACTTGGATTTTGCCTCGCAACTCCCAATTTGTAATTGAAATTGGGAGTTGGGACGGAGGGAGTATATAGTTCTCTTAATCATACCTTCTTTTTTCATCCTTCACAACTTAAACAAATGTCAAAAGAACTTATTTGACAGCTTATTTATTATTACAGCTATTTGGTCTTGGCGTGGCCAACATTTGTGGCTCTTTCTTCTCGTCATACCCTACAACAGGTGAGATTTGTGCGTAAAATTCACATACTTCAGCCAGAATTTTTTTATAGGATTATCTTTAGTTATTTATAATGACCAAGAATATAATATATATGAAGCCTAAGATTCTAGTTTCTTTTTGCATAATATGGAGTATGATTCACCATTTGATTCCTGAAAGAAGCTTCTTTTTCTTAATGTTTTCTTAAGGCTCTTTTTCTAGGTCTGCTGTCAATCATGAAAGTGGAGCAAAAACAGGCTTATCTGGGTTCGTGATGGGAATTATCATGTGCTGTGCTCTTTTATTTTTGACTCCATTATTTGAATGCGTACCTCAGGTTGTGGTTTCTTGTTTAGTAGTAGTAGTAATAATAATAATAATAATAATAATAATAATAATAATAATAATAATAATTACTCGTATTACATATATATCTCACTGTAATGTGTTCAGAACAATCTAGGATTCTAGGACCCATAGATGTGCACCTCTTTTCAGGTTTTTTCACTGTCTGTAGACTTTCACAAATTTCTTCCTACACTTTCACATATATATGAAATGAATTATGAGCATTCACTAATTGCTTTCAAATCTTTATTCTGCAGTGTACTCTAGCTGCTATTGTGATATCTGCTGTAATTGGGCTGGTAGGTAGAGCTTGCTTTAAGACAAAGAGTTATTTGCTATTCACGCTACTGAAGTTTCTCATTCTGGCTATTAATTGCAATCCAGGTAGATTACGATGAAGTTATATTTTTATGGCATGTTGACAAGAAAGATTTTCTCCTGTGGATAATCACTTGTGCTACAACTTTGTTCCTTGGTATAGAGATTGGCGTCCTTATTGGGGTTAGTGCATACATTATGTTGTGTGAGTTTAAAGCTTCTTTAATTAGATTTTTTTAGATAATGGATTAACTTATCCCTTTGCCATGTTTGATAAAGTTATGATTTCTGGATTATAGACACCTTTTTGTTCATGTAGAATTGTAGAGTCATAGTCCCTAAGTTGGAGACGAGGAGTAGATCATTGATGTTTTCATCATCATCGCCTTAACCTCAAGTATGTTGAGGTCAACGACTTGATTTTAAAGTGTGTACTAGTTCTCTAAAATTGTTTGATACAAATTCTTGAAAAAAGCACAATATCATAGTTTTACGCTTTACGTCATTCCTTTTATGATCTTCTTATAGAGGAACAAAATGAAATTTCAAAATCATCATCATAATAAGCTTTTTCTACTTCATCATCATGACATCAACTGTGGTTAATGATACTAAGCTGGCCATTTCATTATTTACTCTCTTAATTGTGATTAAAGTCTCACTTTGATTGGTGCAGGTTGGTGTTTCACTTGCATTTGTGATCCACGAGTCAGCAAATCCACATATAGGTAGGCCGCCCCGCCTACGGAGACATTAAAAGAGCTTTTTCGACACGTATTAATTCTAATAATTGAACTCATTCTCAAGATAGATAAGATTGTCACGCTCAATGTAGGTATAAAAAAATTAATCGGGTACTCTCGGAATCTTGTCTACTCTTTAGAGTGGGGGTAAGAAATGTGTAGTACATCCTGCCTCCCCGAGACCTTGATGTTGAATGGGATATGCTGAATATGTTTGGTTTGGTTTGGTTTGGTTTTCAATTAAGTATTACCTATCTTCACGCCTGACTAGTTTACTTCATTGCCATTGCTTGAGCACCCCTTCTGATCCCACTACTTGGATATCCTATACTTCTCAAAAAAATTGAACTGTTTACTGTGAGATTTATTGTAGGTTTATGACTTAAGCTTTCAGTTGTTGCATAATTGACGACTAAATTTCCTATGGTTCTGTTTGCTAGCTGTCCTGGGCCGTCTTCCCGGCACAACTGTGTATCGAAACATTCAACAATATCCCGAAGCATACACGTATAACGGGATTGTGGTTGTTCGAGTTGATGCTCCTATTTACTTTGCCAACATTAGTTACATCAAGGACAGGTGAGCACATTTCGTATTTGGCCATCTTTAACTTTCGTGCCAAGGAGTGCAAATTACTGGATTTTTCTCTGGTTGTAAATGTGATAACCCAAACCATGTTGATTGCCAATTTGAAAGCTAGAAATGCTTTGAGGTCCATAATGCCGCTTTCCGTTATGCCATAACCAGGTTACGGGAATATGAGATTACAAACGATGGATCCTCACGCCATGGGCCAGAAGTATCAAGAGTTTACTTTGTGATTGTTGAGATGGCCCGTAAGTTACCTAGCAATCTTTTTTTTTTTTGATGAAAATGTAAATAGAATAAAGAAGTAGAATATACAAATAGAACGGGCACACCCGAGCGTGGAAATGACAACAAGCCAATTCCGAACAAAGACAAAATGGCTACATCACCAAATGTCCAACAAGCAACAACACAATCAAACATAAAGCAAGGCACACACGCCAACATAAACACCAAGAACAACAATAACATACATCAAAAGATGAGGGAATACGTATGCCAGAGTCTCCCCAAAATGGAATAGACCATCACTTTGATTTTAAAAATCATACCCTCAACATGAATAGGTTCTTGATCGAAAAGGGTAGCATTACGTTGTTTCCAAATCTGGAAAACAGTACATGCCAGGCCAATCCTCCTAGCCTTCTTAAGAACAGCATCACCTCTTCGAAAGGTCTTCATCCAACGAACAGCTCTATCAAGAGTGCTCAGGTGCCCATCAATCCGTAACCACTGCTTAATGGCCTCCCAAACCTGCTTTGAGATTACACACCCAAAAAACAAATGATCAATGTCCTCAAGGGTATCCCCACAGAGGGTACACTCCATAGGCAGGCCCAGAAACTCTAAATTTGATTTAGTGGGCAGCCTCCTCCTAAATACTAGCCACATCGTAAAGGAGCATTTAGGAGGAATAGTCGAGTGCCAAATAAAAGCCATCCAAGGCTTGGGGTTGGCCTTCACCCTAAGCAAATCATACACCTTGCTCGGAACAAGGTTATCGCCCTCACACACAATCTGCATAGCCACTTCCATGGAGGAGTTATGGCTGCCAAGCTTCTGGACAAGAAGCTCTCGCACACATGCAAGCCTTTTGAAGAGGACGGAGTATCTCTTCTTAGGCTGCCACTGCCAAACATCATC